GAGGAGCAGGAGGGAAGGAAATCCAAGTGGCTCTGCTCTGCTCTGTGACCCTGGCATGTCACTGCTGCCCCAGACCTCAGGCTTGGCATCCAAGGGTGTGACGGTGTCAGCCCTCTCCAAGACCTCAGCTTCCAATCTATGATGTGCGTTTAGGGACTTCCAGCAGAGAGACTTCTCCATTCGTGATGTGCATTTAGGGACTTCCAGCAGAGAGGAGGCTTCCACATGCACGATGTGTGCATGTAAGAGCTTTTCTAAGTTCCAGGGAAGTGGGCATCCTCGGCAGTCCTTCCCCAGCCCTGCGGCCCCGCAGGACCATAGGTGTACCTCTACATGTGCCTGGCAAGCTCCAGCAGACCCCGGCCTCCCGCATCACACGGCACCACCCTGCTGCCTGCCCCACGGCAGCTGGGCCCTGTTTTGGGACTCATACATCAGGAAACTTACAACGTGCATCAGGACTCTTCCAGCAGAGGGCACGTCCGTAGTGATGATGTGGGTTAGGACCTCTTACAGCAGAAGGAATGCAGGTGTAAGGGTACAGAGGTAGGAGGGGAAGGTGTGAGCGCTGGGGTGAAGGTGAGGATGGGAGGCTACAGTTGGAGGGTGCAGGGATGGAAACTGATTCCCAGGAGGGGTCAGAGGTGAGGAAGGGTTAGATCCTCACGCTTGAAACCTCCATCACCTCCATTTCCTATCCTCCCTCAGCTCAAACCTCAGGACAAAACTGGGGAAAAGGACTGCAGAGTAAGGGGCATTGGGAGGGGCAGGGTCTGCATGGAGGCAAGCCAGCAGGGAGGGCCTGGCTGCCCTGGAAGCAGAGGACCACCCCACAGGGAGGGATGGGAGGAAAGCTGGAGACTGAACCCTGTAATTGGAGGATGGAGCTGAGAGCCCTTTTGACTCTGCACTCATCTGTTGACAGTTCTATCCCTGAGACACTTCATCCTGCCCAGGAGTGTTGGTGGTGGTTTCAGTTTTAGTTCTGCACTGTTAAAGGCCCATTCTTTTCTCTTTCTCTTTCTTTCCCTCCCTACCTTCCTTTTTTTTTTTTTTCTTTTTTTTTCCCAAGGTTGTTTTGACAAGCATAAACCTTATCATAGCAGTTACTAATGACCCCCTTCCAGGGGCCAGCAGTTGGTATAGAGGTTAAGGCACTGCATTCCAACATGGCTGACCAAGGTTCAAGTCTCAGGCCCAGCAGCTTGAAAATCACACTGTGGGGGCCAACAAGAGGCTTGGTGGTGAAGGAAGCTGGACTTTTACATAGCTGAATGTGGTTTGAGTCCCGGACCTGGCAGCTTACTTTCTCACCCCCGCCCCCCATCCCTCTCTGGTTGAATTAAAATAAATAAAGTAAATAAAGTTCAATAAAAAGAATTCGTTTTGCTCCCATCCCAGCCTCTGCACAGGACCTCTGGGTATGTCTGTGCCCGCTCCTCTTGGAAGAGTCCGTCACTGGATCCAGGGTCCCCTCGAGTGATCTCATCTCAGATCCTTCCTTACGTCTGTAAAGACCCCCTTACTTTTTCTTCCTGTCTTCCTTCTCTCCTCCCTACCCTTTCTTCCCCTCCCCATCCCCCCTCCTCTTTTGTTTGTTTGCTGCAGAGCACATGTACTCACCAGAGAGAGGCAGAGAATGAGAAATCACCGCTGGGAGGAATGGTCGTGCACAACCCCTTCTCAGCTCCCCCGGGATTTTTGGCGGCACATGTACTCACCAGAGAGAGACAGAGATGAGAAATCACCCCTGGGAGGAATGGTCGTGCACAATCCCTTCTCAGCTCTCCCAGGATTTTTGGCATACATGCACATTCACCCGGCATGTTTTTCAAGTGCTGGGTCCAGGGCTTGAACCGTACAGTCAGCCATGTAGGATCCAGTGCCTTAACTGCCACACCACTGGCAAGTCCCAAAGACCCTATTTCTAAGTGACCTCACATTCACAGGTACCAGGGTTAGGACTTGGGCACAACCTTCTGGGGACACAACCTGCCACCATCACAGTGTCGGGAAGGGGTGTGAGGACACAGGGACAGTGACCAAGGGGGTAGGAGGAAATCCAAGTGGCTCTGCTCTGCTCTGGGACCCTGGCATGTCACTGCTGCCCCAGACCTCAGGCTTGGCATCCAAGGGTGTGACGGTGTCAGCCCTCTCCAAGACCTCAGCTTCCAATCTATGATGTGCGTTTAGGGACTTCCAGCAGAGAGACTTCTCCATTTGTGATGTGCATTTAGGGACTTCCAGCAGAGAGGAGGCTTCCACATGCATGATGTGTGCATGTAAGAGCTTTTCTAAGTTCCAGGGAAGTGGGCATCCTCGGCAGTCCTTCCCCAGCCCTGCGGCCCCGCAGGACCA